AGTATTGTGCTGCAAACTGTGGGAAGCCATCCTTGGCAATTCCTAGTCTCAGAGGACATTCTGTCTCATCCCTGTATCAGGAAACCGGCCATCCTTATAGATATCCTGCAGCAAAGTCATTGTGTCGGCGCTTTAGAAATTGACCAAAAATCCACCTAAAAACGAGTCAGCAACCAACGTCATTGTGATTAGTAGTTGTCTGAGTCGAAACCTTCCAAAAAGTAATAGGTTCAGCGAACGGGGATCATTGTGATCATCTATGCGTCCTGAATCATTATCATCTCGACCTTCAGTTGGACTATAGTCTTCGGACGCATTGTGCAATCTGTTGTATTATAATTCCAGCTATCTCTTTCCCACGCCTAGAAGCTAGTATAGGGAAAAGATAAACAAAAACACGTCTAGTCGCTTGCGGTACAATAATATAACTGTACACAATCATAAGAGTAAAATTATAGGACAATATAGCGCAATCATTTAATTTTAAAACTCAAGTGTTATCTTCCTTGCAAAGACGCCTGCCAGTGCATAAATCCTTTTAAAAAGTCTCGTGATCCCTAACCCTCGAAAATCATGAAACGTCTCAATATACCTATGTATATGTATTGTAACGAATGAAAAAGATAAGATATACAGGGTGAGTCGTTTAACTCGGCACAAATGAATATATCAGAAAGGAATCATTTTACGAAAAAATGTTCGAACAAATTTTGTTTGGTTTCGAGGGGGAAAGAAAATGCTGTGTCGTTTTTTTTTAATCGCGACGGTTTTTTAAACACTTATAATATTATTTGGCAATATTAACAATAAATAGGTTACTTACGCAAGAAAAGAACATTAATTCACTTTTTTGTTCTCTTCCGATTTTCATATCTACATTACTAACAATCCCGGGGTCTACGCTTGATGTTGAAATAACATCGAAAATACTGGTCATATTAAAAAATGTTTCAGACAAAAGTTAATTGACTTTTTATATAGGATAACAGTCTGCAATAAAAAATATAGGTTTCTATTTAAAAAACAAAGTTAACCTTGGGAAGACCTTGAAAACCGCCGTAAATACAAAATAACGGCACAGCATTTTTTTGCCCACTCGAAACCAAACGAAATTTGTTCGAACAAATTTTTTCGTAAAATCCTTTCTTTCGGAGATATTGGATTGTGCCAAGTTAAACGACTCACCCTCCTGTATACTCTAAGGCGCGATAGGATCTTTCGCTTACAATTGACTCGATACTCTTTCCGAATACGAATACTACGCAATACGAAACAAACTATACTTATTGTTAGTGAAATGCCGGATGGGCGCCAGACTCATCGTTGCGTCACGATACCGAAAGGAACTACCCGGAAAATATGAAAAGAGATCCGACTAGCAGGAACGAACGAAAAGGTATGGTAGAGGGGCTGGCATCGACGCTGATGTTAAAGAAAGGAGACATAGAGGAAAAGGTAATGAGAAGAAATCAGATTGAGAACCCATGAAATTCAGTAACAGAGAACAGTGCACATTGGCCATTTTATTCAGGGACTTCAAATAAAATAAAATTAACAATTTAACAATTTCGAGAATGAAAATAAATATCACCCGAGACAAGGTCCTCTTCGGGACACATGAAACAAAGTAAACGCAAAAGAAAAAATCACGCGAGACAAGGTCCTCTACGGGACACGTTAACAATATTCGCAATAGAAAAGATAATTACTACAAAAGCTACACAAGATTCGAGAGAACGCGAAAACGAAAAATATATAACGTAGATTAACGAAAAGACAATACGTTAACTCACGAGACGCGTGGAACACGGATTCGTTCAACAGTTTTCCAGGGTCACGGAGGCATTATTGTAAACTCAATAATACATTTCGAAAATACAGAAATTAATAACGGAAGGCACGGAATCTTTTCCTGGCTGGCGAAACGCGAACATCTCCTAGGCCAAAATCGAGAGTAATAAACGAAACAGATCTCAACGGGGCAATTCACGGAAGCCAAGATAGAAAAGATTTCGCCTCTTAGACAAAAGTGCTTACCTAAGCTTTACATTTCGATACTAGGTGCGGGACAGTTACTTTAGCGAGACCGGCCAAAATGTTGTGAAATACTGTGTTGTGAAAATAAATCTTAACTGATATTACATTTTGTCATTACAATATTAATTAATTATTTCAGTAACCTAACTATTGAAATATTTCAAAAACCTTATTGCTATGCGAACTGTCAGTTTGCGCTTATGGGAATCGGTCACAGTCACGTGTCATTTTTTGAAGAGGGCACACTGCCGTGTCGGCCACTTGCGGCCAACTTCTGCTGGTGCGTTTCTACTGACTAACTCTGTATGCGTCAACTGCAACGCAGATTCACGTCGTTTGCCGGATAACATGTAATCGTACAAATATGTTCATCCGTTTCCTGTAATTCTCTGATATAATGCTACCATATTCAACTTACGATGACTAATAACACGCCGATATCATTGTAACGGATAGAAAAAAAGAGTTTCATTTATATAAAGAAATTGCGATTCAGTTGTTACGATTTACGTTTATGTTTAGAAAATGCGTTTATTAGAGATTAGATATAGGTGTTAAAATTTTACGCATAAGCATTTTACAGAGTGGCTCGGGGGCGACAACAGACGGGTGACCATCCCCCCAATGGGGGGAGCGCGCGTATACAGGGATAAGTATTGACCGCGACCTGTCTGTCTTAACCCTTTTAGTGCCGGACAACGATATATCGTCATTCGCTACATTTGCAAATTCGTCCGGTTATTCTCGCATAGGCACCGGTTTTTCGCCCGGCACTAAAAGGGTTAAGTTTCCTGGAAGCCATGCTGAAGTTTATTTTGAGATAATAAAGCGATAACACGCCAACTTCCATCAGTTACAATCATATCGGTCAATGATAACATATTTTTAATGAATTTCGTTCGCGATAGTTAAGTATTTTTATATAAACGTGATAAAATGCGTTCAAGAATAGTTACTCCCCCAAGTGAAAATTGAAATATTGCATTTTGTATCGTATTCTGTAACACATGCAACCGGACGTTATTGAAACGATTAAGCTTCTCAACTGACAAATGAAAATAGTTTTGAATTGATGGAAAAAGCAAGTTCAAGCAATGTAATGCCGTTTTAATGAAAAATTAGTTGCACCTGTTAGGAGTGGTTCATCCCTTAAAGGAGGTTCTTTTCGAAAAACGCAAAGACACGTATCTTCTACTTTTTAACTCTTCCAAATGCAATTGGTTTCATTAAAATCCGTTCGACAGTTTTTTGTTATACAAATTTGGCAACTTTCAACAAATCAGCTGATTATCTAAACAAATTGTGATTGGCTGATTCACTGATCCGCATGAGCAATCATAGGTTGTAACGTTTGTCGATAGTGGAATTTCGTTCGCTTTTTATGAGTGTACGAAATGGGATATAGGTAAGTGGTCGGGGCTGGAATCTTTAAGAACTTAGGCGACACAGGATTAAATGGTAAAATAAAATAACAAATATTTATTAAATTATCAGTTACAGGTACAACAGTTTTCAATGTGCGTCAATTACAATCGCCTAATATGAACGTCGGTATTGCAGGAAAGGATTGTCAAGGAAACGGCCTATATTTGTTTGTTTATTTCTATTTCTCTCGGACCTGCCTTTGAGAAATAAAGGATGCGCCTGCGTTAGTACGGTAGCCTTAGTGGCGCTCTGTCTATCTATTAGCTATGGCACTGCGTGCGAATTGACTAATCATCGCGAGGATAATAAATCGAAATCAATATGGCGTCAACTGAAGTTTCTGAGGTAGATCGTGGTGCTCTGCTCCGAATTTTGACAATATTTCTCTACACGGCGGGCTCGGCGGAATAGCGAGCGCTAATATGCTGTAACCGCCGACAAAATTATGAACAATGATTTTATGTAATTGGTATGCTCTATCCCAAAGGATATAAATCGAGCTCAAACACTTTATACGATTTTAATATGCGTTATCCTTTCGGATTTAAGTCACGCTTACTTTGTTATTACTCACGTTGCTGTACTTTTTGAATTCTGAAGAATATTGAAATTGATTTAAAATGCATTATTTAGTTAATTAAAATGCTAGATTGATTAGCGAGAAGCGCTAATCCTCTATCGGATTTTATTTCTATTATTTTCCGCGGATTAACTTTCGGGAGCTGTTTTTCATCTACCGGCTATTGTTGACCCTGGCCACGCGTCTTTACTGTTTACTTGAAACGAATGCGCTCTCAGTACAGGAGTACTGAGAGGTTGATCTATTTTTCACGTTACAAGGTATATTAAGCCTTCCTGACAACGGGGAGCTTCAGTATTGGAGACTCTTAACTTTGATGATGCAGATTGAAATGTTTGCGAAACGTTGGCACAAAGATGAACGGACACGACTTCCATCCGGAAACCATGAGTATTAATGCATTTTTCATTATTTGTTATAAGAATTAACCTCTTATTGGTTTCATTTAAATATCCGAATTGTAAATATGCGAAACTGCAAAAATCGCACTGAGAGAGCCCGACTTTAGAGGTTCATTTCACTCCTTAAAACCGTTTTTCCGTTGATAAAAAAATTCGTGTTGCCTAGTTTTTCGTTCTGTATAACATATTTGAGTTTCATCAAAACCGGAGCAGGACACCTGGGATTGTAAGCTATTTAAAGCACACCATTACAATAGGTATTCAAATTTCTTATTGATAGAATCGGTTGTAGTGAGCTATAGAACAGAAAGATCCTTTAATTTACTGCCGAGTAACCATGTACTCGTATTACGTTCCACGAAGCCCTTCTTACAAATACCTCCTCGATGGATTGTCCAGTTTCAGGCTATCCAATGAAATGGATATACTATATTTCATAAATCTTAGTAATATTCAGAATAAATATTGTAATAGCATTATTCTCATTATCGTCTTTGTCGATTATCTTGTTATGGTGTGGTAAACTCACAATTAATTTTTATTGTATAAATTTACAGAAACTTCTTACTGGAAGCAAAATGCGCAGGAAGCTTTGAAGAAACAACTTAAAGTATCCCAAAATAAAAACGTGGCCAAAAATATAATCATGTTTCTCGGAGATGGTATGTCGATTCCCACGTTAATGGCAGCGCGTACTTACTTAGGACAACTCCATGGAAAGACTGGTGAAGAGAGTAAACTTTATTGGGAAAATTTTCCGCACACTGGCTTTTCAAAAGTATGTTATAGATCAACTGCCAGTAAAAATGGATTTGAATATTTGTAACTATCTATCATGTCACACAAGGGTCGAACAAAATAAGAATACAATTTGCTTTTTAGACATACTGCGTCGATCGCCAAGTACCCGACTCAGCATGTACCGCTACTGCCTATTTGTGCGGCATCAAAGCTAACGAAGGTACTATGGGTGTAAATGCGAAGGTGACGCGCTCGGTCTGCGAAGGTCAACTAGACGAGAGTAACCATGTCAGTTCGATAGCTGCTTGGGCTCAAGATGTTGGTAAATCTGCAGGTATTGTTACCACTACTAGGGTGACCCACGCGTCACCCGGAGGAACCTACGCTCATATAGCTGACAGGGACTGGGAAAGTGATCAGAAGGTTGTCAAGGCAGGTTATAATTCCACTGTATGTAAGGACATTGCGACGCAACTGATTACGAAGTATCCTGGCAAAGACTTCAACGTAATACTCGGAGGAGGACGACGGGAATTCCTTCCGAAAGATACGGTAGACGACGAAGGTACTTCGGGCAAAAGAGGAGACGGTGTCGATCTAATCGAGCTGTGGAAACAGGAAAAAGCAGATCGTGGTAAAAATTATAAATACGTCTGGAATAGAAAGTCTTTGCAGCAGGTGATTGCCAATCCTGAAAACTATGATTACTTGTTGGGATTATTTGAGGCAAGCCACTGCACTTATCATATGGAAGGACCAGCTTCCACAGAGCCAACAATATCGGAAATGACGGAAGCTGCCATTAAGATACTTCGCAAGAATAATAAGGGTTACTTCCTCTTTATCGAGGGTGGACGTATCGATCACGCGCATCACGATACCTGGGCGCATCTTGCTCTTGATGAAACTCTCGAACTGGCTAAAGCCGTTCAAACGGCTCGTGAGCTTACGTCTGAGGATGATACATTAATAGTAGTAACATCAGATCACGCACATACTATGTCCGTTGCCGGATATCCTTTACGTGGCAACGATATATTCAGTATTGCTGAGACCAGTGATATAGACTTCCTACCGTATACTACTCTCAATTACGCTAATGGTCTGGGATATAAAAAACCAACCAATAATGGTACGCGCTACGACGTCTCCGACGATGACATGAGTAAGTTTTATTTTGGTTACCCTTCATTATATGTATATCGCCACTATTACACTGTAATGCCATAATAGAATATGCCCTTAATTATTATATATAATCTGCATTCGTTTAATTCGCAGCCGATATTTATTATCGATACCCTTCAACGGTTCCACGTGATTCGGAAACACACGGCGGGGAGGATGTAGGTATTTTTGCAAGTGGACCTTGGTCGCATCTATTCTCCGGCACTCTCGAGCAACACACCATTCCTCACTTCATGGCTTATGCATCTTGTATTGGACACGGAGTCACCGCCTGTACCTAGAAACCTGACAAATTATCACCATTACGAAAATCCGACTGTACCGAACGCATTTAATCTCCGTTTTCGATGCTCTTTCCCGAATGAAATGAAATAAATTCAATGTGCCATATATGTGACAACATATGTGACATATACCGCATATATGTCGCGGAAAAATAAATAAATTTTTTTAAAATATATGTTTTAGTTTTGAGTCTTTTGTGACCAGAATTGTTATTAAAATCATGGCTTTCCGATGTATGTTGCGTCTAGATTTATCCCCCCCCCCTCCTATTGAACAAAAATGAAATTTTCGTTGTATAAATAAAACTTAACCGACATAAAATACATACATTAATTTGTTTTAACTTCTTTATTTAATGCATGCAACAATTATTACATTATTTTTATAAAACGATTTTTTATAATTCTTTGGCGCAAATCTTTAGTAAATATAATTAAAATCCAATTTTCTTTCAAGTTTAAATAAAAAAGAAAACCGAAAAAATACAATGGTTGTATAAAACAAAACACAACACAATTAGTGCAATTGCTGAGAGTAATAGCCAACGGAAGTTTTTCGTTTATTTTACTATTGCTTCAAACGATATGGACGTTTTCACTTTTCTGTTCTTTACTGCTTGGCCTGATTGATCCGCGTATTTATCTCTATCGGTTTTAATTCTATCGACGAGGCAATCATTTTTCCGATTTTCCTTTTGTTGCCGGCTGATTCTGAAATGTATCCTGCTACTGCATCCGATCCCCACCCACCGCGTCTCTTTATTCTCGTTATATTTGCAACAGACTTGATTTTATTCCTTGTTATACAGTTCGACAGCGTTTAAGTGGAAAAGAAAGATAAACTCTATACATAAAGAGAAACCGCCAATCCTCGTACTTTTGACAGCTCTGACTAACTTAATCCGTGATTCCGGGACTCTCTGCCTTAAGAAGAATAATAGGACGCTTACTGTCGGGCAATATCTCTAACTTTCAAAATAATTTAATCAAACCCAATGTAATTCGCAATGCGGCGTATTGAACATTCCCATAAAGAGCTCAACCCTAATCTAAAGTAGGCCTTATTAATCCTCTGCACACAGTTAATAGCAAATCTGGATGTACACAAAATTTGATTCACGATATGGCCTTGAGGATTCTGGTCGCCTTCTTGATTTTGTCGACGAGTTTGTTGATATGTATCTTCCAGCATAGGCTGTAATCAAGGCACATGCTTAGGAATCTTACTGATGGGAACCATTTTATAACACTATTCCCATATTGCACCCTGCAGTTGTACTAATTCTCGTTGAATCTTTTTCCATGGAAGAGAGTCAATTGAGACTCAAATCGTAAGCCTATTTAACCCTTTTAGTGCCGGGCGAAAAACAGGTGCTTATGCGAAGTTAACCGGCCGAATTTTACGATTTTATTAGGATTTTGGAAAAGGCTCATAAAAACCAAACGAAAAGCAACATTTACATAATTCAAAAAGCAGTGTATTAAGGACAAAATAGAGAATAAAACAGTGGCGCTAATTTTTCTATATTCATTGAAAATTACATAAATAACAAAGGTATAAGTGATCAAAAAAATAGAGAAAAATTGAGTTCTCTGTTTCAAAACGTAATTGCACACAGCGAAAAGCAACATTTAC